TTTTAATTTGGTTCCCCCCCCCCCCCCCCCCGCCCCAACTGTGAAGTTATCACCCCTGTGTGAAGGTGGTGTATACCTTTGAAGTTGTCACCGAGGGACACTTCTGATCCAAATCCTAGTTGAGATTTTAATTTTTTTTTTTTTTAATTAAAGACAAATAGCCAATCACAGACAGCAAAACAGAAAGAAGAAATGAAAGGACACGTACACAACATCAGAGAAATTAAGGAAACAATCACTTTTCACAGAAAATAATATTTTTTCAGGAATGAAATTCGTGTTTTTTTGTTTTTTTTGTTTGTTGTTTGTTGTTGGTTTTTTTTGGATTTAAAATTGTATTTCCACATTATGGGTGCGAAGAGCATAACATTCGACAACTTCAAACTTGTATAGATTGTCTCATTTCTCTTTTAATATGGTTTACTTTGTAAAGCGCTTCGAGCTTTTGGGGATAAAGCGTGATTTTTTTTCAAATAAACTTTATTATTATTATTCTTGTTCAAACTTAAGCAGGCCTGGGTAATGTAACCTCTGCGGGTAGTTGTCACGAATGTAGTCAATAAATCAAGCGTTAGGGCTGCACGTAAACGGGCCACGGTTTCTTCAGAGCCACTTGTTATCTTCTGCTTGAGATTGATACACCAAATAACAAAGCATTACACCATTGAATTGTTCTCTTGTGCACCTGATACACGAAGGACGCGGGTTTCCTGAGATTACAGAATCTAAAGAAGGCAGGTTACTATTTTTTAAAAAATAAATTGATTATTTAATTTAATTACTAAATTACCTGTACATAATTCACCCGAACGTGGGGAAAAAGTGGGTGGGGTTTACAGCATGATTGGCATCTAGCTGAGCTGCTCAAAGAATAAACGGATATGATCTTTAAAAAAGAACACATACGTTTTAAGGTAAGCATTTTCATATATTACACACACAGATTCATAACACTGGCACGTATTTCTACACTGCGGTCACTGGCGCATTGTTGCGATAGTACAGTGGTTCCCCGTCATCATAATGCCGCCACCACTTTAATACAGTTCCTCATGGTGTGGTGACCCCCCCCCCCAGCCATAATATCATATTCGTTGCTACGTCATCAATTTGTGTTTTCCGATCGTCTTAGGCGGCCGCTGTGTAAGGGTCATTCGGCCCCCCCCCCTGCCCCCAAAGGGGTCACGACCCACAGGTTGAGAGCCTCTGCTATTGTAAATACATGCTGGAAATCCACCAATAACCAAGCTTGGAATGTTCAATAATAACTGTGAGTCATGCAGTGCTCCTTGGCATACTCCAGTGGCGTAGCTAGGGATTTGGGGGCCCGTGGGGCTTGGCCTCTTTGGGGACCCTTGCATTTTGACATTCGACATTATTTAATGTAAAAAAAAAATATTTCGGACACTCCTGGGGGCCCCCCTTCAAGTAGGGGCCCCGGGGGGGGAATTTCGAATTTGGACCCCCCTCCCCAAGCTACGCCACTGGCATACTCCCTAGTTCTTTCTTGCCATTACCAGAGCCCAGCCTTTTACAACGATTGCACGACTAAAATGTCTATTCCAGTTAAAACAAATAACTTGACGATACCAGCCAAATGGCAAGTGATGATATCTTTCCTGTCGTGCTGGACAACGGCTCGGACACGTGTAAGGCCGGCTTGGCAAGGGAGGATGAACCCACGGTCATATTTCCTTCAGTGGTGGCTCAAGACAGCAACAAGGTAAGACAAGTGGCCGAAAACGGTCAACAGAAATTAAGTTTAAATTTGACTGTTCTTCATGTTTTGTGTGTATTTTTTTCTATTTCTGTTCTCACTATTCATTCTGTTCTTATTATTCTTTCTCTTCTTGCTGTTATTCTTGATCTGTCTGTTTTTTCATTTCTTCCTGTTCTTGATGTTCTTTATGTTATTCTTGTTCTTCCGTTTTTTTTCTATTCTTTGTCATCTTACTTTTCTTTCTCTTCTTCCAGTTCGTTCTGTTCTCTTTGTTCTTTCTGTTTTTTATGTTCTTTCTGTTATTGATGCTCTTCTTGTTCTTTCTATTCTTCCGTTTCTTTCTGTTCTTCTGTTTCTTTATTTTTTTTTCTCTTATTTCTGTTCTCCCTTTCCATTTTTTTCCTTCTGTTCCTGGCGTTCTTCGTGTTCTTTATGCACTTTCTGCTGTTCTTGTTCTTCCTGTTCTTCCTGTAATTCCTGATCTCCCTGTTCTTCATATAACATCGCTGTCGCTTATATTCGACACATAATCTCGGACATGTTTTCCCGTGAGGCTCTGTTGTCCACTGTAGGACATCGTGTCCAATGAACTGTTGATCGTCTAAGTTTTCGCCCGTCCATTTCGTGATATCCTCTCTGATTTACTCCAACGACAAGACCAGGTACGTTGGCCAGAAGGCACTAGATAAAGATGCCACCCTCCCCCTCAAATCACCAGTACAGAGAGGGCTGATTACCAACTGGGACGACATGGAGGCAGTATGGGATTATGTCTTTAAGGTGGGTCCACTGTATAGCTTAGAACAAAATCAATCACGAAAACCCACTGTCTGAAAAGCCACAGTTATATGACGAATGAAATGTAAAATTCGCCACACTTATATTATTATATCCCTATATAAGTCTTGAAATACAACTGTTAAATAACATTATATAAGTATGCAACTGCTTACGTGGGTTAACGGGTGCTTTTATCTTAAGTTTACTCAAAATGAAATTTGGATAAAGTTCGATATTTCAAGAATCATTTTCAATTCTACCAAATTCGTTGTACTTAAGAAGTCCATTCGCAACATGTGGTGTCGGTTGGCGATAGGGTTGCCAACCCCTTGTTTATGGCAGTAAAATTTTTCAGAGAAGCTTGACACAGTTTTATTTATAAGTAAAAAAAACAACCCCACTAAGTTCACCATCCTTGTCTTCTAAGCTTCTCAACAACGACCATTACAACATCACCAAAGACGATGACGGTCAATAGATTTAACCATCACGCTCAACATTTTAATTTATGCTCGTGACCAGGAGGCACTCGCCATTGACCCAAGGACCACGCCGGTCATGATGACCGAGACCCACAACAACCCCAGGACAAACAGAGAAAAGACAGCCCAGATATTGTTTGAAACCTTTCAGGTTCCAGCTTTCTTTATGGCCAGTCAGGTAGGTTCGATTGATTTGATCTCGATAGGTTTGATTGACCTGATATAGATAAGTTGGATTGACTTAAAATATAGATAGGTTTGATTGACCATATATATATATATATATATATATATATATATATATATATATATATATATATATATATAATATATAAACAGAATATAATATATATATATATATACACAAAGATTTGATGACTTGATATAGATAGGTTTGATTGACTTGGTATAGATAGGTTTGATTGACTTGCTATAAATAAGTCTTTCTCGTCCTTTTTGATGCGCTTTATAGCAAACATAGAGGTGTTGACACATGGGAAAAGCACCTTTCATTTATGATGATGTAGTTTTTACAAAGATTTGATGACTTGATATAGATAGGTTTGATTGACTTGGTATAGATAGGTTTGATTGACTTGCTATAAATAAGTCTTTCTCGTCCTTTTTGATGCGCTTTATAGCAAACACAGAGGTGTTGACACATGGGAAAAGCACCTTTCATTTATGATGATGTAGTTTTGTCTGTCTGACTTTCTTTCTCCTGTTTCAGTTTTAAAGATTTAATTAAAAAACTACACGGTGTGTATCTGTGCACTACACGGTGTAAATGTGTGCACTAAACTGTGTGAATGTGTGCACTGCACGGTTTGAATGTGTGCACTAGACAGTCAGCACTTTCTCTGCACCTTTTGAAATCTTCAAAAAAATAATTAGATATTCGTGATTGGCTTTGATTCATCCAAAAATTTTACACAAATGAAATTCCTTCATTCTTGACCGCCATCAGTTGAATTGTATACAGCAGTAAAAATATATCCTTCAATGCATATGTCGAATACAGATTTAACGGACCCTTCAAACAAGGAAAGTGTTGTGTGCTGAGGGTGGGGGGGGTGGGGGGATGTTGTTATGGAAAGAATGGATTTTTTAAAAAGTCCACAATTGATTGGTTTCATTGTTCTATCCCAACAAACAGTGGCAGAGGTAGTGTGTAAACTTCCTATCTACTTAAGTCACGTGACAAAACATGCATTCACCTAACGCTCTTTATGAGAAACCCAATTCGTGGAGTAAAACAACACTCGATTCAGTTACATTCGTACAAATGGGATTTTTAGATGTTTGAGACTTTACAAGAACATTTGGAGATTAGTGCACTACGTCTTCTCTAATTATCCCGGTAACACCGGGTCATATATTCTTGTTACATCATATTTAAATGGAGACGATTTCCGTAAAACAAAAAGACAACATCACGCACCAAACGCACTTGTGGTATTTTAAAGAATCCCATTTAGCGCAGTTGTCGGATATTATATTTTGCACGCCAGTGAACTCAACATCACAGCTATACCGTACTGTCTTTCATACCTAGAGAATTATATTGATTGATTTTAATGTTAATAGAAAACACACCGATTGTATTTCTCGTTTTTTCAATTACATTTCAGCCGGTTCTCAGCTTGTACAACTCTGGACGGACCACGGGGGCAGTCGTGGACATCGGTGAAGGTGTGACCACCGCTGTGCCGATTTACGAAGGTTTTGCCATCCCGGAGGCGGTCGTCAAGATGGACTTTGCCGGATATGACGTCACGGAATATCTCCTCACTCTCCTCGCTGGTACTGCTTTAAGGGCATTTAAACACCTATCATTTCTCACGAAGATAAATAGTTCATTCTACTCTCCCCCCCCCCCCCCCCCCCCCCCCCTCAATAGTTCTTAAACTGTTCATTGAAAAACAATCGCACCTATTATGTTTTAAAAATGTTTACTCGAATTCCTTTGAATGCTACCGTGAATACAACATTGTATATGTTAAGATATATTTTATAACCCAAGCATTATTCAATATCACTTTTTTGTGTTATAATTGGATTTAAAAAGGTTATTTTGATGGTCTAGTTTTTCAGTAGCATCAAACGTTCAGCAAAGAAATCCGAGAATCATTTATTTTATACGTAGCAGCTACATCTGGTTATTAACTATGAATATGTAGTAACTACATCTAGTTACCAACTAATGATGTTTTCTAAAGAGAACTCTAAGGTAATGATAATCTCCCCTCCAGGTAAGGGCTATAATTTGACCAGCCCACCAGACAGAAGGAGCGTCAAGAGGCTTAAAGAAACATCTTGCTCCGTTGCAGCCAACCAGCAAGCCCTAACACAGGCAAATCCAGCCACGACCTTTGAACTGCCTGACAAAAGAGTTATCACATTGGAAGACGAGAGGTGAGTTAGGGGCGGAAGTATAGATAATGGCTGTGCAAAGTTTTAAATATTGGGGCACATTTGACTGATGGTTGTCCAAAGTAGTAAAGATTGGGGCACATTTGACTGATGGCTGTCCAAAGTAGTAAAGATTGGGGCACATTTGACTGATGGCTGTCCTAAGTAGCATAGATTGGGGCACATTTGACTGATGGCTGTCCACATTAGTAAAGATTGGGGCACATTCGACAGATGGCTGTCCAAAGTAGTAAAGATTGGGGCACATTTGACTGATGGCTGTCGAAAGTAGTATAGATTGGGGCACATTTGACTGATGGCTGTCCAAATTAGTATAGATTTGGGCACATTTGAAAGATGGCTGTCCACATTATTAAAGATTGGGGCACATTTGACAGATGGCTGTCCAAATTAGTAAAGATTGGGGCACATTTAAAAGTTGGCTGTCCAAATTAGTAAAGATTGTGGCACATTTGACAGATGGCTGTCCAAAGTAGTATATATTGGGGCTCATTTGACAGATGGCTGTCCAAATTAGTAAAGATTGGGGCTCATATGACAGATGGCTGTCCAAAGAAGTAAAGATTGGGGCACATTTGACTGATGGCTGTCCTAAGTAGTAAAGATTGGGGCTCATTTGACAGATGGCTGTCCAAATTAGTAAATATTGGGGCTCATATGACAGATGGCTATCCAAAGAAGTAAAGATTGGGGCACATTTGATAGATGGCTGTCCAAAGTAGTAAAGATTGGGACACATTTGACAGATGGCTGTCCAAATTAGTAAAGATTGGGGCTCATATGACAGATGGCTGTCCAAAGAAGTAAAGATTGGGGCACATTTGACAGATGGCTGTCCAAATTAGTAAAGATTGGGGCACATTTGATAGATGGCTGTCCAAATTAGTAATGATTGGGGCACATTTGACAGATGGCTGTCCAAATTAGAAAAGATTGGGGCACATTTGATAGATGGCTTTCCAAAGTAGTAAAGATTGGGACACATTTGACATATGGCTGTCCAAAGTAGTATAGCTTGGGGCACATTTGACAGATGGCTGTCCAAATTAGTAAAGATTCGGGCACATTTGAAAGGTGGCTGTCCACATTAGTAAAGATTGGGGCACATTTGACAGATGTCTGTCTAAAATAGGTAAGATTAGGGCTCATTTGACAGACGGCTGTCCAAATTAGTAAAGATTGGGGCTCATATGACAGATGGCTGTCCAAATTAGTAAAGATTGGGGCTCATATGACAGATGGCTGCCTAAAGTTTTACAGATTGGGGCACATTTGATAGATGGCTGTCAAAATTTGTAAAGATTGGGGCACATTTGACAGATGGCTGTCCAAATTAGTAAAGATTGGGGCACATTTGATAGATGGCTGTCCAAAGTAGTAAAGATTGGGACACATTTGACAGATGGCTGTCCAAAGTAGTATAGATTGGAGCACATTTGACAGATGGCTGTCCAAATTAGAAAATATTGGGGCACATTTGAAAGGTGGCTGTCCAAATTAGTAAAGATCGTGGCACATTTGACAGATTGCTGTCCAAATTAGTAAAGATTGGGGCTTATTTGACAAACGGCTGTCCAAATTAGTAAAGATTGGGGCTCATATGACAGATGGCTGTCCAAATTAGTAAAGATTGGGGCTCATATGACAGATGGCTGCCTAAAGTTTTACAGATTGGGGCACATTTGATAGATGGCTGTCCAAATTAGTAAAGATTGGGGCACATTTGACAGATGGCTGTCCAAAATAGTAAAGATTGGGGCACATTTGACGGATGGCTGTCCAAATTAGTAAAGATTGGGGCTCATATGACAGATGGCTGCCTAAAGTTTTACAGATTGGGGCACATTTGATAGATGGCTGTCCAAATTAGTAAAGATTGGGGCACATTTGACAGATGGCTGTCCAAAATAGTAAAGATTGGGGCACATTTGACGGATGGCTGTCCAAATTAGTAAAGATTGGGGCTCATTCGACAGATGGCAATCCAAATTATTAAAGATTTGGGCACATTTGACAGATGGCTGTCCAAATTAGTAAAGATTGGGGCACATTTGATAGATGGCTGTCCAAAGTAGTAAAGATTGCGACACATTTGACAGATGGCTGTCCAAAGTAGAATAGATTGGGGCACATTTGACAGATGGCTGTCCAAATTAGAAAATATTGGGGCACATTTGAAAGGTGGCTGTCCAAATTAGTAAAGATCGTGGCACATTTGACAGATGGCTGTCCAAATTAGTAAAGATTGGGGCTCATTTGACAGACGGCTGTCCAAATTAGTAAAGATTGGGGCTCATATGACAGATGGCTGTCCAAATTAGTAAAGATTGGGGCACATTTGACAGATGGCTGTCCAAATTAGTAAAGATTGGGGCACATTTGACAGATGGCTGTCCAAATTAGTAAAGATTGGGGCACATTTGACAGATGGCTGTCCAAATTAGTAAAGATTGGGGCACATTTGACAGATGGCTGTCCAAATTAGTAAAGATTGGGGCACATTTGACAGATGGCTGTCCAAATTAGTAAAGATTGGGGCACATTTGACAGATGGCTGTCCAAATTAGTAAAGATTGGGGCACATTTGACAGATGGCTGTCCAAATTAGTAAAGATTGGGGCACATTTGACAGACGGCTGTCCAAATTAGTAAAGATTGGGGCACATTTGACAGATGGCTGTCCAAATTAGTAAAGATTGGGGCACATTTGACAGACGGCTGTCCAAATTAGTAAAGATTGGGGCACATTTGACAGATGGCTGTCCAAATTAGTAAAGATTGGGGCACATTTGACAGACGGCTGTCCAAATTAGTAAAGATTGGGGCACATTTGACAGATGGCTGTCCAAATTAGTAAAGATTGGGGCACATTTGACAGATGGCTGTCCAAATTAGTAAAGATTGGGGCACATTTGACAGATGGCTGTCCAAATTAGTAAAGATTGGGGCACATTTGATAGATGGCTGTCCAAAGTAGTAAAGATTGCGACACATTTGACAGATGGCTGTCCAAAGTAGTATAGATTGGGGCACATTTGACAGATGGCTGTCCAAATTAGAAAATATTGGGGCACATTTGAAAGGTGGCTGTCCAAATTAGTAAAGATCGTGGCACATTTGACAGATGGCTGTCCAAATTAGTAAAGATTGGGGCTCATTTGACAGACGGCTGTCCAAATTAGTAAAGATTGGGGCTCATATGACAGATGGCTGTCCAAATTAGTAAAGATTGGGGAACATATGACAGATGGCTGTCCAAATTATTAAGATTGGGGCTCATTTGACAGATGGCTGTCCAAATTAGTAAAGATTGGGGCACATTTGACAGGTGGCTGTCCAAATTAGTAAAGATTGGGGCACATTTGACAGATGGCTGTCGAAATTAGTAAAGATTAGGGCACATTTGACTGATTGCTGTTCAAAGTTTTAAAGATTAGGGCACGTTTGACTGATGGTTGTGCAAAGTAGTAAAGATCGGGGCTCATTTGAATGATGGCTGTTCAAAGTCTTAAAGATCGGGGCATATTTGACTGATGGCTGAGGAAGACAAGCTTATCGTTTTCAGGTGATTCATAGCTACCGTATGTGACCCTAAGGATGGCCTGGTTCTCTCTGGCTTATCGTGAGGGGACTCGAGGTGGTGCTTTGAAGTTACTAAAATTGAGCGAACCCTGTGACTGACAGAAGGAGAAGACACTGTGTGTCTGTGTGTGTGTATTAGGACAATGCATGGGATGTCACTCATTAGCTACTTGGACAATTTTGAATGAAGAGTTTCTGTCCACACATCTCTTTTATTGTGTCTTCCATAACATAACTGGTAAACTTCAGAAACGGGTTTACGAACTCTCCAAAGCAAATCTTGGAAATTGCACTGCACCCGAAGTCGTGAATTCCATATTTAAAATAGATTTGATTTCAGCGGTCCCACCCACTCCCTATGATTTCAGTTTCCTGTTTATGGAAAAAGATTAGATTAAAGGTATTGTTGCAATTAACTCAGATGACATCACACAGGTATCGTGCGCCGGAAATACTCTTCCAGCCCCGCATCGTGGGTAGGAATGACATCAAAGGAATTCCCAATGTCATCCACGACGTCATTTCCGCTTGTGACATGAACACAAGGAAAGGTCTTTATAACAACATCATCTTGGCCGGCGGGAGCTCCATGCTGGATGGAATAGCGGCCCGGCTGCAGGTGGAGCTGGTGTCGCTGTGTCCACAAAATGCGCAGGTTTGTTGTCCGCCAGAGAGGTATTGTGTCTACTTTGTGCTGATAATTGTTTTGCTACTTTGAAGAAACATGTAAATATTATCGTTCATTTCTTTGCATCGAACCAGTTCTGGATCACTGTATAATGTTAATTAATACTAAAGTAACGACACGTCAAAATCACGTAAAATCAAGATTTCAATCACTGTGTATGAAAATGAATGTTGTTACAAGGGTTTCTTACATAGTTATATCATTACTTTATTTTATTTTTAATTAAAGGTTAACTTTTATTTTAACAACATTTCTGATGAAATATCTCCCTTGAGGATGTACGTTCACCGCGCAATGTCATTGGTTAGCCTTGCACTCGTTGAACTAAATTTTTTGTTCCACCCTAAAATGAATTATTTCCCTTCCGATAGATAAAGATCAACGCCAGACGAGACCGCCATCTTGCTGCCTGGATTGGTGGCTCCATCTATGCCACACTTCCGGCATTCCAGCAAACGAGCGTCACCAGACAAGAATATGAGGAGAGGGGCGCGGCTGCAGTTCACCAAAAAATTGTTTAAGTTAAAGTAAAGCGGAACGGGGGGG